CCCAGCACTCCACGGCCCAGTAGATAGGAACCAGCCTGGGCAAAGTCAGCTCACTCCGAAAGTTTCCCCTCCATCTGTTAAACCCCCAGAAAATCCTGCAGCCAAGAGCAGCTCCACAAATTGATGCCTTGGACATGGTGTGGAGCAGCACAGCAGAGGAACAGCATCTCCCGTCGCTACGTCCCATAGCATCATCCCCTCCAGGTGCTGCCAATGCCATCCGGCGACTCCTTTCGTTATTTTTCCCCCCTTCCTTCTCGCCGAGAAGCAGCAGGGAGGCCTGAGCTCTGCACCCCCATCTCGAGCATCTCTGCCTGGCTTCCAGGAGCCGCTGCTCCCTCCCGTGAACGTGAACTTCTTGTAGCTCCCGGGTGCCTGGGGGGCTCTGAGCCCCCAGACACAAAATGTGGGGTGCTGAGGGGGTGCTGGAGCTGGGGAGCCTTTGGTGTTGTGAATAAAGCGGAGACTTTGTCCTGGGTGCAGGGCAGCGTGGTGTGGGAGCAGGATGGGGAGAAGCTGTGGTGTTCACAGGGCTCAGGGACCAGAGAGAGGCTGGCGGCAGCTCCGGCATCCCCCTGGCACTGGCTGCCACCGTCCCCCCGTCGCCCCGCAGGGAAACAGGACACGGGGAAAATGTGATGAGGGAAACCGGATCGCTCCAAAAATGCACCAGGGTCAGGGAAGGAGCCCTCCTTGAGCGGGGCTCAGCCCCTACCACAGCACCAACACACCCTCCAAGAAACAAGATCCCATTTATTGAGTGCTCTCTTCAATGTGTAACATACAAAAGCAAACCCGAAAACAGCTCAGGTCTCCATAAATGAAACATTTAAATAAGGTTTCTCTAGAAGCAGCTGATTGTCCCCCATGGAGCAGAGCAGGACCATGATTTAAGGCAGCTTTTAAGGCTCACGGCAGCCAGACCCCCCCCAGCCACCCTCAAAAGGAGCTGTGCTGCCCCTCGCCTCCATCACAGCGGCTTTGGGCAGAACTGGAACAAGCCGTGAGCTCCAAACCCACAACTTAATGGGTCCTTGGAGAGGCGGAAAGCAGGGAGGTCCCACAGTGGTAGCTGCTGGTGGATAGAACAAATGCAGACGGTTCAAGCTCAGCACCCGGCCCCAGTCTGCTTTGTTAGGTTCCCCGCATCTTCCCTCCTCCATCAGAGCCGTGATCTTTGGTTCAGGCAGGCAGCACGAGAGGGGAAACTGAGGCAGGTCCCTGACAGCTGCCCCCAGCCCCGCTGGTCTGGCTCAGCCAGCCAGGGAGGAGGGGGAACTAAAGTGAAAATAAATAGAAAAGGGGGCTTAGGGCTTCCCACCCTGGTCCCACACCCCAGGAGTTCGATCCCACCCCAGCCAGGTGATGGGTCCCATCCAGGCCACCTACATTGTCACCGTGTCACCTCTCCATGCTATTGCTGAGCGTAAGGAAAAGTCCTATGAGGCTGATCAGGCTGCTGCTGCTCCCCACGAGCAGCAATGCAGCATCATTCAGTCCTTGTGTCACCGTCCCAGCGTGGGACGTGGGCACCGACAGCCATCCCATGGGGTAAGGGACACGCTGGCGTTTGACCTGTCCTTGCATGATCCCGGCCGAGCAGTGTCTACTGGATCACGCAGGAGAGAGAGTCTCCAAAACAACAGGGGCAAGAGGAGGAGGCCACGGGTTTCGGGGGGATGAGATCCAGATCTTCATCATCGGGGACCTCATCCAGGTGGTACCCATCCCGCAGAAGCTGCCGGCTTAGGTCCTGGTTCACCTGCTGGGGGGGCAGCGAAAGAGGTTCCAATTAGTCCCAGTTTAATTAAAATTTAGGTCCTGGGGCTTTTGCAAAGTGAGCGAGAAGGGCATTGCATCCTCCCTCCAGCGCCTTTGCCTGGGGAGAAGCAGCTGATGAGCTCCATCGTGTGAGGGGGCTGCAGCCCACGGGATGTTTTGGGGTGTGTGTCGGGGTGCTGCAGCCTGGGAAAAGCTCTTTGGGCTTTTGCTTTCGTCTCCTCTGCTCCGGTTGTGCTGCTTCTCCCCGGGCAAAGGCAAGGGAGGGAGAATGGGAGGCAGGGGAGGAGGGGACCGCGCCGTGCAGGTGACACCCCGGGACTTGCCTCGGCGGAGGAGTAGCCTGAGGAGCACTGGGATCCCAGCTCCCCGTCACTAGGAGAAAAAAGGGATTTGTTAAATTTGGGACAACAGGAGTGTTCTGCTGCTGAGAGGTGCAATCGGGGATGCTCTACAAGTGACAAGGAAACTCAGCCCCCTCCAAAAAAAAGCCAGCAGTGAGCCTGCAACACCCCCACACCCCCAAAAAAAAAAATCCCCCCCGTTCCCACCTGTCCGAATCGAGGGAGACCAGGTTTTCCTCCGCCGTCTGGCTGAGCGCCGTGTAGCCCTTGTTAAACTTCACTGACCTGCAGGAAAGGTGTGAAAACAGACACAAAGCCAATGGGCTGGGCAGAAATCCCTCTCCTGAATGTCCCTAATGTCCCTTCCCACCTCACGCTGTCCCCTAGGCCCTGGCCAGGGCCACCACCAGCTAACAATAAACTCTGCCTAAGCTCTAGGCCATGCGATTAAATCCTAAACACCAAACCATCCCCAAAACACAGAGAAGCAGCAT